TCTCATGGGCTGAATGGGCACAGAAATAGCCTCGCTTAAGGCTATGTCTCATCACTGCATTAAGTCAACAACCACTTGAGTACCCAAGGATTTTGATCAAAGCTAGATATTGAAAGGGGGGGACAAAGAGTGGCAAACTTATTTGACTTCCACTTATTTCCAACGCCCGTTGAGCACATGGCCAAACTCCTGACCGAGGTGACGTGTGCTCCCAGCAGAGCGGCCGCCTGCTCTCTGCCTCCTCCCCGGTCGGGAGGAAGGCTCCTCTGGGAGCTCCAGCCTGAGGGCCAGGGCAGCCGCCTCTGGTGCCTGGCAAAGGAGAGGCCAGGCGGCCACCAGTGTCCCCGCCGGGGCCAGCGACCCACCGGTGCGGCCGTTCTGCAGGAGACCCTTGGAGCACGCAGCGGGGGTGCTTGGGGCAGGCATCAGCTGTGGGCTCGGGTGCAAACAGTCAAAAAACCCAAAAAAAGGCACATCCAAATGACTGATGGCTGCGTGGGGTTCTGCTTGAGTCTCTCTAACTCGCTTTTCGGGTGCAAGGAGTGAGCCAAGGGCTCTCTGGCTTCTCACAGCTAATCGCAGCACCTCTCTGAGGGGTGAGGAGTAGGGGCTTAAAAGTGGTTACCAGCGCCAGCCTCGGAGCCCGGGTCCCGTGCAGGCTCCTTGGGTGACCTGTTGCTTCAGGTGGGGTTTGCCGCCTAAATAACTTTGGATTTGGGGGGTGTTTGTCTCGCTGCGCCCCGTCCCCCCATCTTTAATGTGGCCCCACTTCTCCCCCGGCAGCCTGGCCTGCCGAGGCTGGAGCCGCAGGGTGCTGGTACGGCCCCGCGCGCCGCAAGGCTGCCGGCACAGCAGCAACGAGCCTCTGCGTGTTTTACACGGGAATCCTCTCGGTGCTTCAGACTCCGGAGGCGAGGCCGAGGGGTTTTACTGCGGTTGAGCTCGTCGTGGTCAGCCCTGCATCCTTGGCCCTCTGTTCTAACGGCGCTGTAGTAAAGATAAAAGTAATCTCCAGTAAACGTATCCTGGGTACCTATTTCACGATAAAAACACCTCAGCGCAATGAAAATAAAGTGTTAGTGAGTCTCGGTAGTGTCTACAAAGAGGGTTCTCTCTCCTGAATTAATTCCAAGTCCCCGCCAACCATTCTCAGCGTTATCTGCGGAAGGCTGGAAAGCAGCAAGAGTAGCAGCAGCTTCGTGTCATTTTTTTCTTCTCGCAGGCGTGTCCAAGGGCATCCTCGCGTCGGGTGGCGTTGGACCTGGCCCTGATCCCCCTTTCCACCCCGGTACAGGAGCAGAGAGGGGCGTAGCGGGGCCGAGAGGTGCTCCCGCTTCCGTGAACATCCCCGTGACCCTTTGGAAATGCGAGAGCCGAAGCGGGATCTGTTCCTGCGGTGGCTGAAAGGCCATTGAGACCCACAGAGACCCGGAGTTCAGCACGGGAAGTCATGGTGAAGGCAGAGCGGAGCATGGGAATTCGCATTCAAGAGGGAGGAAAATGAGGGATTTGGGCAGAGAATAACTGATAGGTGCCGTGAATTCATTAAACATGGGCTCTGCAAGCTCCACGCCGAGGTTCTGGTGACAGCCCAACAAAGCTGCTGCTCCCCCTGCATTGTGTGCACTGCCGCGGGATCCTCACAATAGCCGATCGTTTAGCCTTGTCCTCCATGCTTCATTATCTATTATTCTATTTATTAATGCATTCTTGGGTCTTAGTGATGTGATAAACCATCCATGCTTTTCTTTTATGGTTTAATGGGATTCTTCTGAAACCCCCTCCGTGTTTACATAACCTTGCAATTCACCGTTATCTATCATTTATTTCCTACTTCACGCGCACTCGATAAAGCCAGGGCAGCGCAGGGGCGCCCAGCCGCGGGGTCCGGCAGCGGCGTGTTGCCCATCCCTGTCCTTCGTAACACCTGTGTCCGTGAAATCCAGCTCGGGGTGCCTTTTGGGGAGGGCTGTCCCTCGGCGAGGGCGAGAGGAACTCCAGCTCCCGCGGCTGCTGGGGTTCGGTGGCACCGGGCGTCCCCGCCGTCCCTCTCCGAGGGGGCGACCGAGCCTTGTGCTTGGGAAGGTCTCTGCTCGGGAGAAGGGCAGGGGGTCCCGCAAGCCCCCTGGGGTAGCCCCGGACCCACGGAGGGGCTAAGCCTGACTTTAATAGGAAATAAGGAGGGGTTGGGTGTTAATGCTTTCTCGGGGCAGCGCCGGGGCTGCTTTAGAGGAGCTCGGCTGCTGGGGCCATTCGCGGCGGCAGGGCTGGGGCAGAAGCCCCTGGTTTGGGCGCTGGAGAGCGGCGCGCAGAACTTTTGTCACTAAAAACCCCTTGGAGAAGCAAAGAGCAGCATCGCCGCGGGGCTGCTCTCCGTCAGAGGCAGAAAATCATCTAAATATGACACCAAACCTTTATTAACGATAGCGGGGAACTGGATGCAAGACCTCATTTCTGATTTCATTCATAATCCCTTCAAAATGAGTTGGTACCAGTATGTGATAAGTGGATTATGTGTTAGGCCCAAGTAAAGCCAGACACAATTAGTGCTTTAATAAACCGGTTGTATGCATTACTAACAACTCAGTCATAAGGGAATTGGTGTATTTACAAACCCTAATTAGTAGTTTGTTACTGTGATACCAAATTTAAACAAATCTGTAGCATCGCTGACCATCTGGGTTAGAAATCTCGGTTTTGAATTTAATTAGGAAATAGTTGTGACAGAAAATTGGTCCTTGTTAGTTAGCTAACGATCAGCATTCCCCTAATTGAAATGAAGAACTGTCTGTCGGGCTTGGGACATGTTTAGATACAAGCAGAGAGAATCAAAAAATATCCTCTTGCTTAGGGCTTTGTAAGCCGTGATGATTGATTAAATACTCCCCCCCCCCCCATTTTAACAACTAAAATGCAAATGACATGGTTATGAACGTGCGTGATAAAATCAGGCAATTAGAGGGAGTTGTGCATTTCTGGGTTTGCTTTTAAAAACGGTTCCGAAGGAGATGGCCCGGGCGATGCGGCCGCCCCCCTGGCCGAGCACGCGATGCCGACGGCCCCGGCCATGCCTTCATCCCCGTCCTCCCCCTCATCCTCAGGGAGGGCGCTTCTCATCCCGCAGCGGGAGCCGGGCTGCGTTCGCGGGTGCTCTCCCCAGGAAAGCAGCCCAGGGCCACAGCACCACAAAACCGGCCCAATTCTGGCCCCCATTGGCTGGGGGCCGTTAAGGGCTGATGCTCACGGGGGAAGGAGGTGCATGTCCTCTTCTGCGGGCACGCGTGGAGCAGAAGCCAGCATCTCAGCCTCGCGACCAAACTGCAGGTCGGTCCTTTAAAACACGGGCTGTCGTTCTTAATTAATTTTCACTTCCTCCCTTTATAGTTGTCCGCAGGGCTCTGGGTGTTAGGATTCCCGGTAAGCTTTGCAGATTAACGGACGCACACCCTGGCAACAATAAACAGCCCAGTCGCCGCTGTTGTAGCATCACCCGATACCGATAAACTCTCTGTATATGGTAACCGGCAATGGAGTTTCCGTGGGGGCTTTAAATCACTTAATGGTGAAAGGAACTCCCAGGCGGCTTTATCAGTCACTGCGTAAAATTGTTAGAGATCTCCACCAGCTAATAAATTTGATTTGGGGTTTGGTTTGCTGGCATTTGCACAAACCCTCGGAGAACTGTCGTTACTGTATTCCTATCCAGGGCTTGAATTCAGAACCGAAATGCCTGTTCCCCTCTCCACTGGGAAGCGAAATAAAACTTTGCAATAGAATATGAATGCCTCTGGTTTTTCTTTTTAAGCTGGTGCGTTATTATTTGAGGAGATATAGTGTTTGACAAAACCATTTATTTTGTTTCAAATATTTTATTGAGCAATAAAACTAGATTACATTGCTGCCACATATGGGGATTTGTGCCTGTTAATGTGTAAGGGGGATGAGGAAGGCAGTCAGTCCCCCGTTTTTCTCTGGATGAGCCTGGCCTCCCTGCCCGCTGCCTGTGGTGCCCCGCAACCGCCACTGGTGCGGGCCGGGCTGCGTCGCCCGTGCAGGAGCTCCTGGGGGCTCGGGAGTGCTGGAAAATAAAGGTGATCTTGTTGCCTGGGATGAATATTTTTTTTTTCCCCACCCAGCACTCACAAAGTTATCGTGAATGACCCCTTTTCATCAATGTTCCCATGCTGAATGGCAGGGAACCAGCATTTTTAGTCTAGAAAAACCCCCTTGAAGCAGAGCCATCAGCTGCTGGAGGCGGCATCAGCCGGGCTGCCAGGAGCCCTGAGCCCGGCTCTGCTGAGCCCTCGTGCGTGAGCCCTGGCCGCGGTGTCCCTGGGCTCGCGGCAGTGCCAGCGCTGCGGAGCACGGACAACCTCTCGGCACAGGAAGTCCCCTTTGGGTTTTTCCCCCCCCCCCGAATCAGAGCTGGGCAGGGGTTCAGCAAGTCTGAGCCCTGGTTTGGTTTTGCTCTTTCCTTGGGCTCCCCCTCCGGCCCTGGTGTCTCCCCAGGTCAGGGTCCCTCCTCTGTGTAATGGGCCCAATCCTCATCCAGCCTGGGTCTGCCGTGGGCTTGGGAAGGCGATGCCCTGGAGGGGCTGTGCAGGGCAGCCGGGGGGTGCTTGTCAGGACCCCCGCACCCAACGGGCGCTTGCTTCCCTGCTGCGGTGGCCCAGGAGGAGCCGGGGGGCCAGCCCCCCCCCCTAGCCGTGCGTGCGCCGTTGGCCCCCCCGCC